GTCTGTGGCACAATATGATGCACAAAGTCTTATTCAAGTTGCTAATAACTTGGAACTGCCACCGTTAACGTGCTTATTCAGAATTTTATTTCTCTCTAACCTCTTTCTACAATCTTTCCCCGCTTCAACTCAGGGCAGCGCCTCACACATCTGAAGGACAGGACTCTAGCAGACCTTGAAAGCTTATGTCATAATACATCTGTTATTGTTTTGTTGCTTTGCTACTTCACAGGGTTGTCGTGGTTGTTTTTAAAAAGTGGGAGAGGGAGAACCACATTCACTTGCTTCTGAATAATAGCAGCAGGTTCCCAAAGCACTAATAAAAATAAAAATTCTTAAATATTAAATTAATAAGTTAAGTTATTTCCAGGTGGAAGGTCTGCAGCTATTGAACTCCCTTCTAGTTAACATTTGTGTGGCCCCTTCAGTTCTAGCATTCAGGAAAGCCTTAAAAACTCATGCTTCTGATACAGAAGACTGTAGTCCACAAAAGCTTGTGCCATAATAAATTTGGCCACCTTTAAGGAGCCACAAGATTCTCTGTTGGTTTTTGCTGAAACAAACTTAAAATAAATTTCACTGTAGGAGTTAAAACCTTATTTTTGCTAATTTTCTTTCCTTAAGGAAAAAAAGAATTGGTGTCTTAATCCAGTACAGTATCTTTTTCTCTGCACCCAGTAGCACTTTCACAAGCCTATCCAGACATGTAATTTAATTACTTGCATTTGTTTTAAACATTTTACAAATTAAATCTGAATTTTAAAAATTATTCTATGCATACTTTTTTCCCGTGGAGTTTAGTTGTATTTTATCGACAATTTTAATATGGATAGCACTTAAAAGATCTATTTGATTAAGCAGTTCATGGTCCTTTTAAAATGAATCACATAAATCTGGACTCCTGTCTGAATGGTTCTATTACTTTTATTTCTCCAAGTCATTGTATAAGGGTTTGGCTGTGAGAAGCGAATGATCGATGACACCCAAAGCGGCAGCTCTCCACGCCCATAACATATCAATATTAACAATAATACAAAAAAACAAGGAATTTTCTTGTGTTTCTATGCCTAAACAACTCAGACAATTGGGTCCATCTAGCTTGGTACAGCTACAGCAGCACCTCTCAACCTTAGGGTGCTGTTGGACTACAACTCCCATCGTCCTTGACTATAGGACCTGCTAACCAGGGATGATGGGTGTTGTAGTCCAACACCCCCCTAGCCTTGAGAAAGGCTGTTCTACAGTGTGGTGTGGTGGTTAGTATTAGCAGACTAAGAACCTGGGTTCAAATGCAGGGGGTTAAATGAGAACCACGTGTGGCACCTTGAGCTCCTTGGGAGAGAGAAACGGGGCATAAATGCAATAAACCAGGCATCCCCAAACTCGGCCCGCCAGATGTTTTGGGACAACAATTCCCATCATCCCAGACCACTGGTCCTGTTAGCTAGGGATGATGGGAGTTGTAGTCCCAAAACATCTGGAGGGCCGAGTTTGCGAGTGTCTGCAATAAAACAAAAACAAATGCAATGACTGGCTCTCCAGGGTTTCAGTTTGGCTCCTCTCCACCCAGCCAACCTGGCCTGATCCTGGGGCACCCTGCGTGCAAAGCGGATGCCCTAAACCGCAGCCGCGGACCGGCACAGCCCTTCCCTCCCTACCATTGTTGAGACTAGGATGCTGGGGATACAGGGGCCGCTGTATCCCTATCCGGCAGGGCGAAAAAGGTCCCGTCACCCTGTCGCGGAAGCGCCCCGGCAGAAAAAAGCTCCTAGAGTGGCGTTTGCGTTCTCTTGCCGGCGGGACCGGCCCTTCTTGACCCTTCCCGGCGCCCGTTAACTCCCTCAGGCGCGCGCGAGAGGAGAAAAGGGGGGGGGAGGTCCGAGTTCGAGGCCTGGCTCGCTTCTCAGGCCGGGCCTAGAGCGGCCTAGACACCTCGGCCCTCACACACAAGCCGCCAAGCCCTCCCGGGACCGGCCGGCTCTACCTTGTCTCTCCGGCGAGGCGTCAACCCGCTGCGCTCCAGTCAAGGCGCCTCCCCAACTCGTCCCTCCCGCTCCGAGCCGGGCCCTGCTTCTGCCATCCGCCTCCTGACAGGAAACTGGCGGAGGAAGAGGAGGAGGAAACAAAAAAAAGAGAAAGAAAAACGCATGCGCATCCGCTGGTTGTACGGGCGCCGGTGAGGGTCAATTCGTGGGACGTCGCGCCGGTCAACCCGGGTAAGCGCGCTTACTCCAGCCTCGCCCGCCCAGCTCCACTAGTTGGCTTCGGTTTGGGGAAATGCGCATGCGAACAGAGGCTCCGCCCAGCGTGAACGTAAAGTACGTTCTCTAGGTGCGGGGAAGGGACGGCCCTGACGGCGCATGTACCAAAGTGAGACAGAAAAGGAGGGGGAAGGAGGGAGAGAAAGAATATGAATTGGTACATGCGCACTAGTTGTTTTCTGCATAATTTTAGACTCGGGTTTAAGAATTAAATAGCCATTTTAAAAATCTGCTATAATTCCTGATTGTAAAATCAAGCCATAAATGCCAGCAATTTTTAAGAGTGCGATGTGCACCACTTCAATCAAATACAATAAATAATCACCCATAGTAAACATCCAACTTGAAAGAACATTGAAAACCGATTAATAAATCCACTAAAAGAAATGGGGAGAAGAATAAATTCTCAATAATTTTTATTTATTGGATTTATTCATCTTTCTTTTTATTGTGATAACCCAAAGCCGTCCAGAGTAGCTGGGGAAACCCAGCCTGATGGGTGGGGTATTATCATTATTATATTATAATTCAAAACCAGCATCGAAGAAAAACAAAGAAAAATCTGAAAGGCAGATTTAAAAACAAGGCAAGATTGAAACTTCCCAGACACTCAAAAGGAGGTCACAGAATTCAGAGCCAAAATAATAATAATAATAATAATAATAATAATAATAATAATAATAATAATAATATCTTTATTGTCCGGCAATAAAGTCCGGCACCTAAAGCTGTGCATAATCAGTGCTTTTTTTCTGGGGGTACTGAAGGATAGGTATTTCCAGCACTTTTTCCCAGAAGAAAAACACTGTACAGTATACAATTACTGGTACCAGGTGAGTCTCCCTGGAGGGTTTGACGAAGTACAGGGCAGTGCACAGCTTACCTTATAAATTTGGGGGGGGGGGGTATCCAGAAACTACATATAATCCCTCCTTCAGTTACATGCTTATAGTCTGGGAGAGGGGCAGAGTAAGTTAGAACTCCTGGTTCCTTGATTGCGGTCATAGGATTGTTGTCTTTCTCATAACAGTGTATGTTTTGACTCCACAGAGTGGGAAGTGACGGAGACAGGATGTTTGTGTTACTGTGTTCCGTGAAGTGGGACTATTGTCCTTTGTTCTTTATCTCTTTGCTGTCTGATGCTAGAGAGAGGGAGCCATGTTGCAGTGCTCCGTGTGTGTTTATATGTAAATAAAGTAGATTAGCCAAAATGCTGAGTTGCTGAGGTCTGTTAGGCAAGCTGCGAAGACTCTGCGGATCCCTAAGTGTGCCAATGTCTGTTGGCATCGGTCACTGTGATGTTCGGGCAGAAGAAAGCTTTTGAAGCTCCCAAACGATTGACCAGGAGGGAGGGAGCATGCCAGTTGGGCATGTGTCTCTGCCAGGGTCCTACTCAAGTGTAGGCTAAACTCCTGACAGAGTAAACTCCATTTCCTTTTCTGTTGCTCCCTTTTAAATACTTTTTTTTTTTTTTTTTTGAGGAGCAAAATTCAATACTTAAGCCAGTGGCAAATGTGGGACATAGTTTCTATACATGATCTTTTTGAAGGGGCAGCTCCCAAATTAGGTCAACTTGGGTACGATATGAGCAAACTGGTCCCAGTTACATCAGTCTTTTCTTTATCTCAAACCAAAATAGCAGGAATCAGGCTATTAGATCTTTAACAGGATTTGAGCAATTGATGCTTTTGACTTTACTCTAATGAAAGTTCTGGCATCAAACATTTACAATGGGACAATGGGAGCAGCCCAAAGTTTAAAAGAATAGTGGGCACAAAACTTGTTGGAGGAGATGCAAGGGATGGGAGGCATATTTCCTACATATGCTGGGAATGCCAATATGTGCATGGGTTTTGACAGGGCATCTTTAAAAAATATTATATAATCTTATTGCAAAGAAGGAAATACAGATGGCTCCAAAATTAGTATCATTATCAAATCTTTCATTGTCAAAATGTCCACAAGGAAATGCTTCTTCTTGTTTTTATCAGGGTATCATGGTATTTACTGGTTGAAAAATGCTGGAAAAACTCTAAAGATCTATTATTAGAAGCTTGGTATAATAAAGTTTGCATTTTTATATTAGCAGAAAAACTAACTAAATGAAGGCCTGGCACAAAGGCAAAAACAGGAAATGGATTCATTTTATGAAACAGGTTCTGCTTTATTGATTATATTAATAAATAGGATGAGATGAAGAAAATACCAAAGACTCAAGGAGAATTGTGCAAAGGTATGCTTTATTTAATAATATATTAATATAATATTCAATATGAATAACTATCAAACTTTTTATTACTGTATTCAATTAACAAATTATAATCTACTTTATAACATACACAGCATTAAAAAAATTTAAAAGCACCATCTTGGACTTCAAAGTTCATAAATTATATATGTATCTATATCTATATAAATATCTAATAAAGTGTGGATGAATGAAAAATATGAACATTAATAGGTAATGCCTTAAAGGTAAAGATACCCCTGACCATTAGGTCCAGGCGCGGGCGACTCTGGGGTTGCAGCGCTCATCTCATTCTATAGGCCAAGGGAGCTGGCGTTTGTCCGCAGACAGCTTCCGGGTCATGTAGCCAGTATGACTAAACTGCTTCTGGCAAACCAGAGCAGCGCACGGAAATGCCGTTTACCTTCCCGCCAGAGCGGTACATATTTATCTACTCGCACGACGTACTTTCAAACTGCTAGGTGGGCAGGAGCTGGGACCGAACAACAGGAGCTCAGCCCGTCATGGAGATTTGAACTGCCGACCTACTCATCGGCAAGCCCTAGACTCTGTGGTTTAGACCACTGTGCCACCCGCATCCCTATAGGTAATGCCTTAGATGCATGCAAATTATTCACAGCTGCTTGGCTTGAACAGCACTAATAGTTCCTTCAACGAAAGCTTTGTTCCTTTCACAAACTTCCATTTCTAGCAGGTGTGTTGGAAACTTGGCTTAACTGCAGAATAGGTCCACTCATACAAATAGGGTTGCTATGGCTGAACATGATGCTGAGCCACAATCTCTCTTCAGCATGGATACCGCAGCTGTGATCAAAGTGCCTAAAGAAATAATAATTAAAAAACAACAGAAGAGTATTAACTATATATGAATAGAAAATCAAAACACCACATTTTTGTCTCCATATAAAAATAAATCTATGGCCTTTTAAACTGTTGGGTATTGTTTCTTTTTGTTACTACGGTATGTATTTTTGTGGAGGGGTTTTTTATTGTAAACTGCTGTTTGATCCTCAAATGAAGGGCAGAATAGATATTTAATAAATAAAATGAACATATATAACTTTATGTATTCATTTAAATTTATCTCCCAAGGGGACCTAGGGCAGCAGGACACAGAAAAGTGATAAAACAATTCAACTATAGGAAAATTAAAAAGTTGTCTAAACACAATCACATACTCTTGAAGCTAATCATTTTCATGGTTGCCAGGAACAGTATCTTTCAGACATCAAGTGCCTGGGTAAACAAGAATATCTTTAAATTCCTCATGAAAGTGAATAGTGAGGGATACAGATGTGTTTCACCAGGGAAGGCATTCCACAAATGGGAAACCACCACTGAAAAGGCCCTGACATATGTCAACACCAGCTGGGCAACATCCAGTGGCAGCAGCATCATCAGGGCATCCCCTGCCAATCTTAGGACCCAATACGGTTAATACTGGGGAATACTCTATGAAGAATTAGTGCCTGAATTTTCCTGCTACTCTGGTGCTCCTCTTCTCTTTTTCACTATCATATCAATCTCTACCAGATTGGGCAGGGACACTTGGAGTATATGATGTAACTCATGCTCAGAGTAAACCCATTTAAGCACATTTATTTAAATGGTTCTTCTTATCCAAGTATGACTTAGCTGGATGTCACCTTCCTCTGCAGCCAGTATGAAAACACACAACAGTAGCCTCTTTGCAGATTGTTCTGCTAGCCTTTAAGCCAGGCATAGGCAAACTCGGCGCTCCAGATGTTTTGGTACTACAATTCCCATGATCTCTAGCTAACAGGACCAGTGGTCAGGTATGATGGGAGTTGTAGTCCCAAAACATATGGAGGGCCGAGTTTGCCTATGCCTGCTTTAAGCTAATCAGCTATCATGGGCTTCCTTACAAAGCTGCATTAAATAAACCAATCAACTTTTCAACCCGCTACACTCTCAAAGGCAGTCAGCCAACCTGGCAACCACCGCCAACTGCAAAGATGTGGGATAATTATTAAAGAGTACTTTTTTGCTAAGCCCCAGATCTCATGCTCCTTCCCCCGAATTTGCTCGCAGAGAGGTTGGGTATGCTGTAAAGCTGCAATCCATCGCCGTAATTTGCTAATACAGCGGTACCTCGGTCAACGAACAGTCCTGTTAACTGACTATTCGGGTTACGAACTCCGCAAAACCAGAAGTATTGTTCCAGTTAGCAAACTTTACCTCGGTCAACAAACGGTGGAAGGGCACTGGCGGCTGGAGGCCTCATTAGGGAAAGCGCGCCTCAGTTTAAGAACGGCTTCGGTGTAAGAACGGACCTCCGGAATGGATTAAATTCATAAACCAAGGTACCACTGTATGCATTCTGTACATGTGCTGCGTCATGCCTGCGCCCGGAGTCTTGTAAGTACCTACCATCGGATGAATGTTTGCTCAAATTGTAGACCCCAATGGGAACCAAGCATCCTACTGGGGAGGGATATGAGCATGACTTCAGTATATCCTCAGGCAATGCCAAAGCACTCTACTGGTTAGAGAGCCTCTGGAGTAAGGTAGAGGAAAACAAGTGCTGAAACAGATGCTCAGGAATAATTACCCACCACAGTACTGGTAGTTTATATTACCATAATAGTAATAATTTTATTATTTGTACCCTGCCCATGTGACCGGGTCGCCCCAGCCCCTCTGGGTGGTTTCCAGCGTATACAGAAACATAACAAAATGCAATTCAAAGTTCAGTGCTGTTAGTTATACAACCACCACACTGGAATGCTGCAAGGAATAAGGATATTGAGGCCACCATCACATGCACACATACGTGGTTTTGATCGCTTCCTTTAATCACTTTACCTCTCTTATTGCATTTTTAAAGCACCAAGCAGAAAGGACAGGAGCTCAGTGGGAATGCACCTGCTTTGCACGCAGAAGGCCCCAACAGAGATCCTGATTAAGACGGAAGAGGGCCTCCAGGTTACATCTTCGCTTCTGTGCCACCTCGTGTCCTCTGGGTAGTGAATGCAAGGCTGGGGGGGAAACTCTCCCGGTGGAACTTCAGCCTGCTCCATACCAACTGCAGAAGTCGTGTCCCCCCCCCGCCCAATCTTCCTGCCGAGGGAAAAAGAAAAGGCAGTCAAGCTAATAATGCTAATGCCACCTCAGTATCTAACATTAAATGCCTCACCCGCCCTTGCACCAAGCCGACCTACCCATTAAACACGCTCACCCCTCTCGAAAGATTGCATTTGGTCTGTCCTGCCACCGCCCCGCGGAGGATCCACGGTGGGCGATGCCATTTGAAGGGCACCGTAGGGGGCAGGGCGCGCGCGCAAGCTCTCCCCTTCCACAAGATACTATTGCGAGCTCGGGAAGGAGGGGCTGCGCGAGCTCAAGGTGCCATTGGCCGGCGCCGCGCGAGAGCTCTCGCGGTATTGGGCAAGCGGTGGTGACTGTTAGAGCAGCCCGCCTATCACAAGCTCAGCAAAAAGCGGGGCGGGCGGGCGAGTAAGAGTACGGTAACCCAGCAGGGACGCAATAAGGAGGGTCATAAGGCGATGCGCGTTCTCTTTCCCAAGATGCATGACGGTTCGGAAGCCATGAACCATGACGTTTGGGACGTCATATTACGTCACAAGTCACCCCCCCACTAAATTCCCCCTCCTCTGAGAACTGGCTTTTACACCACTGAGGTGCAGCTGTTAAGGCTGTTGGGCTAAGGTGACCTTGACCCAGCTGCTTTCTCTCAGTGTAGCCTGAGCCTACCCAGCAGAGTTCTTGTGAGGATAAAATGGGTGAGGGAAGAAATAGGAACCATATAACCATATTATTACATACATACATACATACATACATACATACGTTTGTTTAAACCCTGACAGAGTCAAGGCTGCTTACAGACAAAAAAATAAGAATGCTAAAAACACAGAGCAAAACTTTTTTTTTTAAAGTATCAAACATTGATACAATTGAAACCATACAGATATTTATAATCTATTAAAAACTATACAGTATAAGTTGTCTTGAGCTCCTTATGAGGAAAGGCGGGCTATAAATCTCTTTAATGCATAGTAAACAAATCTGGCAGCAATTGAATGCCTGGTGTAGTATATATTCAGATGAAAAACAACTGACAGGGTTATTTCACACAGAGAATCATGGGAGTTGTAATTATTGTGAGGCTGCTTGGGAAATCTTTGAAAAGCAAACTTTCAAGGTGGACCATTAATTCCTGCCCACCCCCCGCTGTACTACCATCAACTCTTGTCCTCCACAACAACTCAGTGAGGAAGTCCAGGCTGAGAAATAGCAATCACCCCCAAACCATTCAGTAGTTGCTGGCCAAAGAACAATTTAAACGTGGGCCTCTGCAAACCTAGCCTAAACCACGACGCCACACTTCACTTTCAGACACAGATCCCTACCTCCTCTGAAGTGAAAGTCGCACATATAAATGAGAAAACATATTTTGGCTGCCTGCAAAGCACAATCTTAAAGCACACACACCCCACCTTACAAAAGAATCCTGGGAACTGTAGCACTGTGGGGTAAACTACAGTTTTCAGCAGTGTTTTTTTTCAGGGGGGGCACATACCCCTAAACATTTTGTGAATCTAAGTTTGGTCTCATTGAGGGACAGTATTTCAATATGAGTAGGAAAATGAGAGTACCCCTAAACATTTTTTTTTGGGGGGGAGCACTGGTTCCCAGTATTCTTCTCAGGGTGTCCGTGCAGGTTGTGTAAGATTGCTATGTGCAGTGGCGTAGCGTGGGTTGTCAGCACCCGGGGCAAGGCAAGTAATTTGCGCCCCCTAACCCGTGGAGCGCGCCCCCCCCAGATGTTGCGCCCGGTGCGGCCGGCCCCCCCTGCACCCCCCACGCTATGCCGCTGGCTATGTGTATATGACCGGTGCAGCTTAGCAGTTAATGATACAGTCACAAAGTGTGTGCAAAGCCTTCTGCCTTCAGGTGTCAAGGAGGAAGCTGCCCCATTGCCAGTACTAAAGCAAGATCCCACTGAGAGCCTGTGCGGTGTAGCGGTTAGGATGCTGAACTAGGATCTAGGAAAACAGGGTCCAAATCTGCACTCAAGCCACGAAGCTCACTGTGTCCTTGGGCCAGTCACTGTCTCTCAGCATTGTTGCAACAATTTAACTTGGAGGGAGGAGAACCGTGCACCCCACTTTAAAGATGATGTGGTGTTCATCTGATGAAGTAAAGGAAGATGGAGGCACCTGTCGTTCCAGATGCAACTTCCCCTCTCTGCCCATGAAGGGGAGATCCACACAGAACTATGACCCCATAGTCACTGACCTATATGACTATATGATTGCAGACCTAGGATCAGGGCAGGAAAGCATCCCATTGTTACTATTATTACACACACGTGTCATGGCAATGTTCTCCCTTCTTTGTCAGAGGCAATGTGTTGCTGGGTACCAGTTTTTAGGAATCACAAATGGAGAGAGTGTTGTTGCATTCGGGTCCTACTTTCAAACTTCCCAAAAGAGTCTGTCTGGCCACAGGAAAAACAGAATGATGGCTCTTCTCACAATCTTAAGCTCTTTTATTTCGTACACAGAAAATGTAGGTATGATTTTTCTTTTCTAATTGTGCCACGAGAAGTCTTTATTTTATTTTCAAAAAAGAAAACAAAAACCAGAGGCAATTTTTTTCTTTTTAAAGCCCTCTGACACAAGTAGCTCGTTTTTTAAAGGAGAGAAAGCGAAAAGTTTGATATTCCACAGTCAGATTTTGTTCAGAGAAACTATTTTGTCTCTTGGAACACCAGAGGCAAAGACATGGCAAGCTAAGGAAAGAAAGGAAGAGGGTGTCTCTCCTTCCGCAAGCTGAGCTGGAATGAAGTACAATCAGAAAAAGCCCAAAAGAAAGGAGGAAGAAACTTTGGCCTTCATTTTAAAAAGGAGGGGGAAATGATATTTAAAAAACCTTTCCATTGTCTTAAGAGTCCCATTATTAATTACTTTCTATTGTGCATTGGACACAGTAAAAATTACATAATTCTTTTGTAAAGCATAATTAATGCACTATTGGCTCCAGCTGACATTATTTCCCACTGTAGACAAAGTTGCTCTAAAGGTCCTTTTTTTTCTCCTCCCGCAGCTTGGCCTGCTGGGCAATGCTCATCACCCAAGCAGATAAGCACCACCACTTGAGAGACGACCCCAAGGTTATCGAGCAGAAGTTTCCCAGAACGGTGTGGGGCAACCCACATGCTGTTATTTTTCTGCCCTCTGGAGCGGATTTCAGTTCAGTCCGAGTCATCTCCGCATCCATCGCTGCCCTCAGGATCATCACTCTGGAAAAAGGAGATAAAGAAACAGAGCAGTCACAACTGTCAGTGGCATTCACAAACACAGGTTTTTAAATTATGGAATGCGTAGAGAAAGTGGATCCAGGAAGGTTTTCCTCGCACTCTCATAGTGGAAAAACAACCAAGCTACACGTTATAAGATTCACAACAGATGGAAGAAACACTTCACACTGCACATAGTTAAACTTTGGAATGCAGTGATGGCCACCAATTGGGTTACCTTAGAATCCCTGTTGTCCACCGGTGCCCTCGAGACAGTGGAATTGAAGTCGTGGTTGGAGAGCGTCTCCACCCAGCACCCCATGGACTTCTCTTCTTTCTCCGTGCTTATGATTGTGGGGTAGATGTGTTGCTCTTTAAAAGCAGCAATCTTTTCTTCTTCTTCCACCCACTCCAGGGCCTCGTGGAGCCCATCGTTCCCAAAACGTTTATTGTACTTTTCAAAGTGAACCCGCTCCAAAACCAGGCCCAGCCCCGGGGCTTTGGGGACGTCCACCTTCTCCTCCCCCCAGCAACGCTCCATGATGGCCTCGGAAGCGAAGCCCTTCACGATGGCGATCACCAGCCCAATCATCTTCCGGATCTGGTGCATCATGAAGCTTTGCCCTTTCACCTTGATCACGGCGAACTCCATGCCTTCCCTCACAAAGGGCTCCTCGCAGTACATTTCCATGATGTAGCGTTTGGCGCTGGGGTCTTTGGGCCCCTTCTGAGAGGTGAAGTTGTGGAAGTTGTGCGTCCCCTTGTAGCAAGCCAGAAGGCTGTTGACGGTCTCCAGCGTCTTCGTGCTCAGGCGGTACGTGTCATCCTGAAGGTCGCAGTCTTTGTGTGCCAAGGCAAAAGTTGGCAACATGTAAGAGTATGTCCGGGCATCACATTTGTTCTTGGAATTGAAGCCTCCTGTGACCCGTTTCAGTCCTAGATTAAAACACGCATGTTCTATTAACAGGATCTGTACAATCCCATCAAGTTTCAGGTGAACTGTGGACCCAGGATACTTCACCGCAGGGATGGGGGGAAACTTGTAACCCTCCGAATGTCACTGAAGCTCAGGTCCCATCATCCTTGACCATTGTCCATCCTTGCAGAGGATGATGGGAGCTGGAGTCCCAACATCAGAAGGACCACAGGCTCCCCCAGACCTGCTTTAGGTTCAGGGGTCCACAGTTTTGGCTTAATGGAACTCTCAAATTTCTCAGTACACCGAGGCTTCAAAATGTACAGGTGGCAGAACTATTCACATTCCATTGGTGCGGTGTGTGTGTGTGGAACTGACCACACAAGGAAGTGCATCGCGTCTGGCACAACTTGGGGCCTGTCTTGACTGCTGCACTGTTCACTTTCCACAATCAGCAATTATATTATTTTGGCCTGGCACATATGCTTCTCCCATCTAAGTGGGAAGGGCCTACTTAAAAAATGTCAACTCACCCCAGGTCATGGGGAACATTGGTACTGGTGGGGAAAAGCAAAAAAATTGTGCTTGCCAAAGACCCTGCCTCTGCTAACCTTCCAGGGCCATGGGGAGCCAGTTCAGAAGTTTATTGTTCTAGCCAAAGGCCATGACAAACTTGCAGCAATAGGATTAATAAAATAATACAATACACACAAACACACACCCCTACATAATATAAGCGGACTTCCATGATGTAAGAGAGGCTTATATCTCAGATTAAACCTCTGAATCACGGAAACAATGTATAGTGATTTTATCTAACCCCCTTTTCCTGATTTTTTTTTTTGTAAACAATGCAGAAAAGGTTACTTTGTGCGTTACAAAGATATTACTGTCACTCAAAAGAAACCAAACCCTTTCTGCCATGATGCTTTTACAGAATCATAAAATTGTAGAGTTGGAAAAGATCACAAGGATCATCTAGTCCAACCCGCTGTATTGGCAGGAACTATTCGCCCAGCAGAGGGCTCAAACACACGACCCTGACATTAAGAGTCTCATGCTCTACCGACTGAGCTGTCCCTGAGAACCAAAGTTTCAGAAACCTATATAAGGGGCAAGTTAACAGATAATGAGTGATGTCTTTCACCTGTGGTTGACCACAAATGCAAAGTCTGTCTGTGTATGGGACCTTAGTTATAGCGGCCATCCAAGACTGCGGCAGGCATCACTTGGAAACGCAACTCAGTAAAGGCATTTCTTAAGAAAGCTGGCAAGAATTTTGGTCATCTAACGAGATCCTAAATGCCCTGTTCTCATGTGGATACCAGTGAGGAAACGTGGTGTTCCTAACTACCGTATTTTCCCCTCTATAACACGCAGATTTTTTCTCCTAAAAAGGAAGGGGAAATGTCTGTGAGTGTTATTGAGCGAATGTGTGGTCCCTGGAGCTGAAAAATCGGGCAAAAATCAAATCGCGCTTCACGGAGAAGGGAAACCTGAAAAGAGGAAGTGGCTGCTTTCCTGCATTCTGCCTCAGGGTCTTACTGCCCACCCTCCTCTGTTTCGTTGCTGTGTTTGCTGAAACGGAACAAAGAGCAGGGAAAGCCCCTCCCCTCCAGGCAAGCAGAGGGGAAAGCAGAGTTCCTCTCTGTGCTCCGGTGCTGCTGGGGGAGAGGGAGAGAGAGAGGGGGAGGGAGAGAGAGAGAGGGGCGGGAGGGGGAGAGAGGGGGAGGGGAGAGAGAGAGAGAGAGAGAGAGAGAGAGAGAGATGGCTGGCTTGGGTGGGGAGAAACTTTTGCCTTTCTTTCCTCCTTCCCATTAAATCCCTCTTCTGCATTCTTAGCCAGCTGCTTCTCTGCACACCCCTCTCATGTCCCTTCTTTGTTTTTCCTTTGCTCCCCACTTAAAATGTGGTTACAAAGCATAGATCCATATGGATCCTCAGGATCTTTGCATTGGGTCACCCCAAATTCACCATCAGATCACATAGCATGTCCATGGCTACAGCCTGCACCAAAAAAAATCACGCACCCACTGTTGCCTGGGGCTGCAATGGTGCAAAAATGTGGTTACAAAGCATGGATCCACAGGGATTCTCAGGATCTTTGCATTGGGTCACCCCAAATTCACCATCAGATCACATAGCATGTCCATGGCTACAGCCTGCACCAAAAAAATCATGCACCCACTGTTGCCTGGGGCTGCAATGGTGCAAAAATGTGGTTACAAAGCATGGATCCACAGGGATTCTCAGGATCTTTACATTGGGTCACCCCAAATTCACCATCAGATCACATAGCATGTCCATGGCTACAGCCTGCACCAGAAAAATCACGCAC